ACCTTTGTTTTGCGTAGCAATGGAATCCAAGTGTGTAACTCATCTTCTGCAGTGTATTAGTCCTTAACAGAACATCTCCGTCTCTCCAGCACACATTTGTTGTTGATACGCTACTCAACTTTCCATACAGTACTAACGTGATGACGTCATAAAAATGAAATTTCTGAAATTATGGGATTTGTTAGGATATTCTGAACGAACAATGTCCAAGAGGCCTACTTGCCACAAATGAGCATTTCGGGGCAAATTGTCTCTGAGATGTTAGCCGGTTATACTCAGAAAACTCCATACAAACCCTTCTAATTTTTTTTTGGGTCGACCCAAAAAAATTTAGAAGGGTTTGCATGGAGGTTTCTAAACATAACTGGGCTACGATCTCAGAGACAGGCGGTAAAACGGTAAATTTACTTCCAACTATAAGGCCTGCACAATCAATTTTGAAACGCAAATTTCCCTCCGTACCGTAAGCCCCTCCGAATATAAGCCCCTCCAAAAATAAATCCCTCAAAAAGGGCCTTTGAAAAATATAATCCCCGGGGCTTATTTTGGGAATTTTACGGTACTTCACTACTGATAGGTTTGGTCTCTAAGTTAATTGATGATCGATAGAAAGTTTCTCCTGACATGAATTCGGTGGAATGGAGATGTACCAATTCGGTGCATCTCCGCAGTAACACTTCTGTTCTTATATTTTGTTCAGTTTAACATTTTTGACCTTAATCTGGTCTTCCGTCGATATTTACCAAGAAATGACTACCTTGCTTGTTTTTAACAGTTTTAAGTGTGTTTCTTTGAGTTTTAACCGAATTCATGGCAGTGGATAACTTTAATTAGATTTACGTGATTTTATAGGTGTTTTTGTAGGTAAACAACTATTGTTCTAAATTCTGCCTTGTTCTTTGAACGATAATCAACCTGAATAGCAGGGCCATTGAGTTTATTTTGATTTGTACCCGAAACTTTGATATCATAGTTGACTCTAGGAGCCAGCGTAATGCATTCTTTACCCCCTTATAACTCCTGAGAGAGGCCAGCAACTAATTTCTCCTCAGAATAACACTTCTTAATCAAATATAAAGGTGGTAAGAATAGAAGTAGCCTGTGAGCAAGCTCTCCTCTTTG